GCCTAGAAGCCCAACAGACTTGGCATAAAGAACATCACTCCCAAGCATCATGGAAAAACCAGAGGATCCTTGTAGGACGTTCAAGTCTTCCACCTAAGTTGGCAAGGGAAGAGTCCTCACAGCAGGACGCTGAGTCAAAGAAACATATGAGTTGTATTCTCAAATTACCCAATGCCTAGTTCACATAGCTTCTCTCAACAGCTGCTTTTATCGGCTACTTCAGAGAAATGAGGAAAGCCCCATGATGCACAGAGTGAGTTCTGCCAAATATATGAAATTCTGGCAGACTCAGTAAGGGAAAGGAAACATGCTTCCCAGTTGACATTTAGCTTAGGGATAAAGTTTGATGACCACCATATATCTTCTGTCACATTTTTGCCATTTGCCCAGGGCTTACAGATTTACCTATAAATCATAAAACTACATTTTTCTTATTCAGTATTTGCTAGGTCTTTACTACAAGTACATTCAAGAGAAACCTGTATGTTTATTGCCACACAATTCTTTTTAATTGAGAGTAAGTTTCTTAATTTGACACGAAGGACTAACTCTGAATGGAAGAAGTAAAGAGATTAAGTCTTAAATTTTCAGAATTTCTAAGCTCTGAAGTTTTATCCCTAATGTAGGTCTTTACTACGAGATCTGGTTTTGTTGTTGTTGTTGTTGTTTTAATTGCTCAAGGTGTTTTTTAAATGTTTTCTTTGAATCCACCAGATGCTCTGCTGAAGAAGAAGGGGCAATCTCCTCCTGTGCCAGTCTGATCCATTTCAACAGTACACAAGAATAAAATATTGTAAAATATTTTAAAATAGCGAAGATTCTACTATTATAGATTTTTAAAAATAGAAATCAAATAAGCTTCTCTTCCCTGTTTGTCACAATAACTTTTGTTTGATAAGTTCAGAATTAAGATTTGTTATAATAATATTTACATGAAGTAAGTAATACCACAGAAAAGGCATAACTGTTCAGAGTTTCTCAGAATTTGCTAAATATATAGTAATATATAGAGCCGTAGTGCTTAAGTAAAGTATTTTATATATTGTTGTTAGGTGCCATCGAGTCATAGATGACTCATAGCAACCCTATGAATGAAAGGCCTGAGCACTGCTTTTACATAGAGTTTCTGGAGGCAAGTAATTTCAGAAGTGGACGCTGCTCCTGCTTCCAGGATTTTATATATTAGGAAAGTATTTTATAATTATAGAATGTGTATGGAAGTAGAAATAAAGTGCTATTTGGATCCATTATATTGCTGTTGTTGTTAGGTGTCATCGAGTTGAGTATGACTCATAGCGACTCTATGAATAAAAGATCTGAATCCTGTTCTATCCTGTACCATCCTCACACTTCCCACCCAAGAGCCCATTGCAACAGTCACCATTTCAATTCACCTGGTCGAGGATCTTCCTCTCCTTTGCTGACTCTCTACCCTTCCCAGCATCTAGCCCCTCCTAGCAACATGTCCAAAGTCTCTGAAGCAAAGCCTCATCATTCTTGCCTCCAAAGAGCACTCCAGCTGCACCCTCTACAAGACATATCTATTCATTCTCTTGGCCGTCCATGGGATAATCAGTGCTCTTCTCCAACCACAGCTCAAAGCCATCAATTCTTCTTCTGTCATCCTTATCCATTGCCCATTATAGTTTTAACAATTTTTTTTGCTATAGAAATAAAACTTATGTGCCAATTCAGCACTTTTTTTGGTTTACTTGTTTGTTTGTGGTTTTATTTTGTTTTTCTTGTTGTGTACCATTGAATTGGATCCAAATGGCACAGGAGAAAATTGCTCCTCCTTCTTCAGCGAAGCATCTGGTGTATTTGAACCTAATGCCTTAGGGAAGTTGAGCACTTTTCAGATATACAATTTTATAATATTAGTTACACTTTCTTTGTAATTTTTTTTCTTCTTTACTTTTCCCATTCTTTCTGTTTCTACCTTCTGAGTTTTGTCCTTTGACAAATGCTACCTTTGTGTTCCTCGTTTTTTTCTGCTTATTGTTTGACTGAAAGTTGTGCGACAGAGGTGAGTTTGGTTCTGGACTCAAAGGGGAGCTAAAGACCATATTCTCAAGGATTCCACTAACCTCCTTCAGGCCAGCAAGACTGCCATTTTTATGGTTTTCAGTTTTGTTCCACATTTATCTCTCCATTTTTCTAGGGCCTTCTATTGTGATACCTTTCAGAATGGTTTCAGACAGAGGTAGCTTGCATCTTTTAGTGCTTCCAGTCTCAGGCTCATAGAAGTTGAAGATCTAGAGTTTCGCTGGTGTGATAGATTAATTGTTTCCATGTGCCTTTGATTTTCTTTACTCCTCTTTGCGATAGAAAGGGACAGATCAATGGTTACCTGTTAGGTGGTTGCTTGTAAATGTCAAAGTGTGTCCAGTCATTATTCAACCATTATAGACCGTAGAATATTGTCCCAGTGGACTTTGTTATGTCAACTGCTCTTGGTGTTCCCTGAAACTATGGTCCTGAGGCCTCATTGCTCTAGGGTATTTAAGGTTAAGGTGTCCATAATATTGTCCTCCTGATGACTCTAATATGGACATTTATATATTTGCAGCACACACCAATGCTCAATTTGAGCCATCATCTGCCAAATCTATGCATAGTTATGAGTGTAGTAGTTTTCACTTGCTCATATTTATTTATCTTGTGTGTCTATGTCCTCACTTGTAGGTTCATGTTTGTTATTACAGGTAAAGTAGAGCTGTCTATGCAATGACCTGTTGTCGACAACTCATGCAGTTCTGTGTCTTCCTTTTCTGTATTATATCACACTAGTTACCATAAGGCCAGTACATTATAATAAGGAAGTTTCATTTAAATTCTAGGGCCTCAAATTAAAGGTTTCAAAAGGAATTTTTGGTATTAATTTTAGATATTTAATTTAGGTGTTAATTTTAGAGCACCTTAACAGAAATCTGCTTAGTTTATCTTTTTAAATTATGACTATCAAAGATTAAAGGCTTCAAAAGTGATTACATCTCAACATCAAGTAGATGAAAATTCTCATCAATGAGCCTATAGGCTACATTATGAAAGATGAAGAAAAGATGAAAATTGTCAATGACTTCCTCTTACTTGGATCCACAATCAAGAAATACCCTTGATAAGTCAAGAAATCAAAAGACATGTTACATTGGGAAAGTCTGTTGACAGAGGCTTCTCCAAAGTACTGTAGAACAATGATATCAGTTTGAAAACTAAGATGTATCTGTTTCAAGCCATGGCCTTTTCAATGACTTGCTATGCTGCTGACAGCTGGACAATGAATAAGGAAGATAGAAGAAAAAGTGACGGCTTTGGGTTGTGGTATTTGAGAACAGAACTAAATATCTATGGACTGCCAAAAAAGCAACAGATATGTCTTGGAGAAGGTGCAACCAGAGTGCTCCTTAGCGGTAAGTATGGCGCAGCTTTGTAACACATACTTTGGGCATATTGCTAAAAAGAAGTGTTCTTTGAAAAGAGATGAGATCTTCAACCATATGAATTGACACAGTGACTGGCAGCAATGTGCTCAAGTATCTCAGAGACAACAAAAATGGCACAGGGTAGGATACGGTTTAGATTTGTTGTTCACATGAATTGTACTCAACCCTGTGACACATAAAAAAAAACCAGCATATTTATTTAAGGGAGCTCTGGTGACTTGGTGGTAAGGAATTGTGCTGCCAACCCAAAAGCAAAAGGTTCAAGTCCACCAGCTGATTTGCAGGAGAAAGATAGGCAATCTCTTCCTATGAGATTAACTCTTTTTGAAAATCCATTGTAGGGTCAGCTATTACTTGTTCTGACTTGACAGTACATAACTACATTTAAAAAGAAGCTCTGATGGCATTGTGTGTGTTGGACTTTCTTAACTAGCTGGTTTGAGTTTTACCAGTGGCCCTGAGGGATGGGCAATCTCCTCCCATAAAGATTTCTAGCATCTGAAACGCAGTGGAGGAGGGTTGCTACTAGTTGGGATCAACTTAACAGCAATAAATTTGTTTGTGGTTTTTGTTTTGTATTTGTAAGTTTTAACTGTGACATTAGTCAAGATTAAGACATTAGAATGAGTGTAAGCATTCTAATACTTCCCAGGATGCCTAACTAAAGTATATCACAACTCTGGACACTTTATTTGTAGACTCCTGATGTAGATATAGCTTCAGAAAGAATGAGCTTCAAGCTAAGTGAGCTTCACAGTTAAATATTACATATTCTAAGAACATGATTTGAAGTCCAAATGATTCTTCAGCTTTTTCTAAAGTGGTGGAATTTCATCCAATTTTGAAGTGCAGATTTTCCATGCAAAGTAAATAGTTATAATAATGGAGGGGGGAAAATAGTGGGTCTTACTAATTAGAGGAGGAAAAGTAATAATCAGAGGCAAAAGTATCATTATCAAGATATATTTAAAGGGTTTTATCACATAAAACAAAATGGCAGTTAGCTTGGACCAACGTAATATTATATTCACTTGTCATCTGAAGTGTGTATTTTTCTTCAAGGGTAGGCAAATTTCTCAATATTCTATCTCAAGCCACACTTAGTTTATTACTTTGAAGGTAAAATAACATTGCAGATAAGGCATTTAACTTTCCCCCCTTAATGTGAAGGCATTAAAGACTTAACATTTTTAAGAAAAATTAGAAAAATAAAATTCGTAACTCATAAGAAGGAAATAAAATTATTTTATTAATTAGTTGAATTTAATAAAATAGAGATACAAATCACTCAGAAATTAATCAGAACACCTTGAATTACAGATATGAACAATTTTATATGATGAACGTGAATTTAAGCATATGTTTTGTAAATTAAAAATTACTGCTTGAGTTAAGCCCTAAGGACTAATAATGAAGATTTTTAACTCTACTCATTAAGTTTGCAGCCATACTCTCTTGCCTGTATTGAAATAGATAATTTTAAAAATAATTGTTTTACTGGATTATGTCAGAACAAAATTGTGTTTCTTGAGAGCGCTTAAGTTTCCTGCTGGGTCATCAGAATGAAGCTTTCACTGTTCTGCCCTTCAGAGGCTGAGGTAGCCGGTGGTTGTGCTTTATGGGAACAGCATTTTCACCTTCTGCATTTGATAGAAGGCTGCGGAACTGGGCCAGCTGGAAGGAACAACGGCATATTTAAAAAGTCAAAAGCTGTTGAAACTACACAGAGCCATTTATTTCCCGTACAATTAATACGATTTACAATATGAAACTGAAGACTGCTGTGATTTCACCAATTTGAAGGGTAAAATATTCTCCTGCATCTCTGAATTGTTTTGGGTTTGAACTTATCTATAATGGGATGGGTCAGAAAGTTAGCTTTCTTAATTGCTAAATATTCCTGGTTTCTGGAGAGGGTTAAACCGGGTGGCTCCTGAGGCTCCGTCTAACATAGTTTGGACATGTTGTGAGGAGAGACCGGTCCTTAGAGAGGGACATCATGCTTGGGAGGGTGGAGGGACAGCGCAGGA